GTGAAATAATGGCTTTAAAAAGTAGGCTACAAAAAGGACAAGTGTAAAGTCAGGTTTAGGAATACTTACCTGGATTAAAGTATGACATGTTGTGGCAAAATGCAAACAATATGTACAAAAAAGTGCCATCTACAAGGCACACAAGTAATATACAAGCAAATATTGTTGTGTCCAGTTGTCCTCTCAGCTGTAAAGATGTAAATTCATTGAAGATACTGTGGAACAGGCAGTAAAAAACAGTGGAGAGTCAGAAAAGGACATTACAAAGCAGAATGGAATCACCTGTTCACCACCTGTTTGCTACCAGGCGAAAAAATATTGAGCCAGAAAATATTAACTGTAAATTTTGTTATCTAAAGAGATGGTTGGAAATTCCTATGAGCAGGTCAGATATAGATGACAAGTCCAGTTTAGGTACAGTTCATTCTGTTCTGGGAGACAGAGATCTGAGCATTTTAGTTCTCTTTCCAACTTATTTCATAAAAATGTACATTAAAATTCTATTACAGTTGTGTTAGAAAGCACTTAAATGAGAATATTCATCCATCTAAAATCATATTCACAGGAATCCCTTTATGGAATTATTTTCATGGATGCCCTGACAAGTAAGACCCTGAGTCTTTCCTGAGAAGCAATATTCCTGTTGGGTTCCCTGGAAAACAAAAGACTGGACTATTCAGAAGCCAATATAACTGGGAAAGGAAAAGCCAGACTTGTTGCAGAAAATTAGCTGCAGGCATACATTTTCACTAAGGCTGCAGAGAGTTGTCTCTGAGAAATTTATCATTCTAAATTACCATGGGGCCTACATAGGAAATAAATCTTCACAGATATACATTTGGAACAGGAAAGGAAAAAAAAAAATTAAAATAAAGTTAGCTGTCCTGTTCCAGGATGCAATTTTGCATTTTTTCTTGTATAGACTTCAGTAAAGGTTTTGCTTGTAATGGATAGTGGATGATGGCAGATATTTTACAATTTGTTACTGGGGGTTTTATTGTACTCTGGTTTTTGTGGTTTTGGTTTGGTTTTGTTTTGTTTTGGGGTCAGCCAAAATCTCAATATTTTTACCTGAAATTCAAGGATTTGCAAATATTGAACCATAAATGTAAAAAATATTTTAAGTTTTCAGATGTTAGATATTTTTATTCTACAATGAAATTATCTGCAAAAATCTGTCTTTCTTTAAATGGCTTCATAAAAAAAAAATCTAACTTTCTCAGTTGAAAACATATGCCAAAATTAAGTGCATTTAGCACAATTACAGGGTACAATACTTTTTAATTCATTGCAGCACCATGATTTCTTGACATTTAGAAGTTACAGGTATTGATTATTCACTGGACTTAACTATGTCAACAGTCACTAATCCTTCACAGAGTGTGTAAAAATAACCATAAAAATTATCTTCAAATAATTAATTACAAATTCACTAAGAATTTTAATAAGATTGCAAAATGTACCAAGAAATTAACTGAAAACTGCTTGATTTCTGCCTTGTGTAATCTGGGAAAAGAGACCATGTCAGAATAGATGCCATTGAGGAGTTGTCATCTCCTCCACTTTGATATGTGCCACAAAGTTAATGGCTATTTGGACTACCAAGCACTTACTGGGCTCCTCAGTTTCCTTGTAGCTGGAAAGTAATTATTTAAATATAAAAGTAGACTAGTTCTCACTTTTTTTTTTGCAAGTTCCCAGAGCAAAACAGAGGTTTCCTATTGGCAAACACTACTGATTTGCAAGAAGGGTATAGTCTGGTTGAAGAAATTCTACAATAGGGAAATAAGAACTATCAAAGAACCAGAAAGAATTTCTAGAAGCAAAATGGAAATCCTGGCAATGTCCACTGATACTAAAATGAAAAGGAAGCCCAACATACAAGCTTGGTATTGCTCAGGGATTTGAGGCTGGTGAAAGAACAGAAAATGAATACTCTGCAGATTTCAACCACTGTCTACACAAAGCATATTTAGAGGAAACAGCTGACTCTTTAAACAAGAACTAATACATCCTGCATTGAATATATACATTCTTAGGAAGAAGAAAAAGTGCAGTATAAAGAAAGAGAAGTGAAAGGTAAAAACAATTAAAGAGAAAAATAGAATTGGAAAAGAAAATGTGAAGGGGAAGAATTGCAGTATGTTTTTGTCACCAGACCAATAACAGCACAGATCTGGTTTTAATATTATGTAACATCTAAATCATGTCAAAATATGTCTACTAATGATCAACTACTGTAATGACATAAACTTTGCATTTATTTGGAATCTGTTGCAAATGCCAGCACGTTCCACCTGCTAGCCACCACAGTGACATAAAATATTGCAGAATATGTGAATTTAAAATCTCCCCCTGTTCACTTGCAGCTGCAGTTCAATCTGACATTCAAGACATGCTTCAAAAGGGACCTCACCAAATGAGATGCCACTTTCTTTTCTGTATAATATTTGGTGAATGGATCTTTACTTGAAAACTCTTGATCTCAGTTCACAAGAATACTTTCTGAGGGACCTGTGGCAGGTCATTCTGAAGGCCAGTTCTCAAGTTTCAGGTCTTGGTTCTTCCACAATTCAGGTCAGTTCAGAATTTTTTTTTTTTCAGCTTCTTTCTTGTCTTTTAACATTACCTCCTCTTTCTGGAAAAATGAATTATTAGAATATATGTGAGGTCCTTAATGCTCAAGAACTTAAGAATGGTTAAGAGAAATATCAAAATCTCCCAACTGGGTTTGAAGTTCAAAGATGTAAGGCTTGGAAAAGTGCTCTAATTATGGCAAAATTTCTAACACTTGATCAGTATATTTGAGTTAGAACAACTTTTTTTAATCTCATAAAAAATTAAACTTCCTTACTCCATGGACAGTTTATGGTAAAAAATGTTTTCCAAGGTTCGCAAAAAGCTTCTATTTAACTGCTACAGCAACAGTGTCTCTATAAGTCAGTCCAATGAGCAATTAAACTTTTTCTATGTCTGTAGGTTTGGTAGAGAAATGTCCATTAACAGCCACCAAACACTGCTAAAATGCAAGTCCACTGCTATCCAATACTAACATCCAATAGTAGAGATGTATTTCATACAGGAAAATCAGAATCAACTTAAATGAACGTTTGAAGCAAAAGTCATGCCTAATCCACTATAGTGAAATGAATATCAGAGTCAGTGGGTTCCAAAAAGAAGAAAGAAAAAAGTAGCTATAAACTCCACAGAAAGTGGAAATGCGGGCATTGTTACACAGACCTCTAATCTCTTGTGCAGCGCTATATGTGGAGAGGAAAAAATGCCTTCCTGACCTCTCCAAGTGATCAATTTATACTGAAGCCTGAGAGCTGATGTGTATCTATTCCAAATTAAGTGGAATTGAAAGAAGCATGAAGCTAAAACATAAAGAAATAACACTGTAGAAAGCAGAAAGTACCTTATTCATCAGTACAAGAAGGGATGCTATTCGCGAGCAAAGGAGATATCTTCCTTTTAAAAATATGCCTGTGCCAATTTTAATATCAAAAGTACCTCAGAACTCTCAGTGAAAATAATCTCTGCAGGTACTGGTCCAAAGCCTACAGAGATCAATAGGAATAACTCCCTCCAGTGCAGTGGACTCTGGATCAGGGCCTTTCTCTAGAACAAAGGTTCCCTCCATCATAAGGCTGCAATGTCCCCTTCTTCTACCCCCTTACAGTACTCTTAAGCTCTGTTTTGAATCTCACAGAAAAACAACACACATTAACCTAAGTGGGAGTGCCCTTTCAGATAGGGAAAGATATGGAAAATCACACCAACTTTATTCAATGTTAAGATAAGATGTTTCGTGACCTACAATCCGATGCACTATATGTGATCATCATGCGGTACAATTTTATAGCATCTTTTTTATTTTCCCCCAGGTCTACCAAACTTCTGTTATTTCCAAACTGTTAAAAATACTCAGGTTGCTAATATAAATGATTACAATTGACAGTGCATTGTCAATTTATTGCAAAGCTGATTTAATTAAGAATGCCAAGGGGCATCATTTGGGGCCAGGTATCTGAGCTGCAAATTTTTTTTTGATCTCAACCTTTCCCTATAGGACCGTCCACACTGGCACCAAAGGCTGGAGGGCAAGAGAACAAAGGGAATTTTATGTGTCTGAATTCAAATTCTTTCCCTTTGAAATGAAGCGTCCAGAATGGGCAATAAAACTGTGAAAATGGATTTCTGGCCGCATTTGATGTTAAGCCTTTAGTGTCAAGAGCCAGGTCTTTTTTTCTCTCTCTTTCTTTTAGTTTTTTTTTTTCTTTCCCTGAATGGTCTTGTGGGGAATTTGTCCTATAAATTATTTCTTGCAGTTTGTATGCATACAGTATGGCCTTGTCTGATAGTTAGAACTCAAAAGTAGGCTATTTTGTGTGCATGTATTTTAATTAACTTGTGTTTCCAGTAAAAGTGCAATAGAAATCATTGTGCTAAAGAGGCTCATTTCATGTGGCTTTTTTTTTTTCCCCTATCAGCCCATGTGTGAAACCTGAATGTTTATTAAGTACTTGTGTGGAAAGAGTAACTTTCATTCTGGTCTTCCTTTTCATACCCAGGACTCATAATCCTTTGTATCATCTCTTCCATTCCCATAGTAGGATATTACAATGCAAAAAGAAAAGCAGAGGATTAGGCCCACTTAGAAGATCATGCAGAGGGATCTATTATAATAATGATTACAACCATTTTATCTTTAATAGCTAGCCACTGATGGAAGGGCAAGGGGGGAGACAAGAGACCGAGAAATGAAAGGAATTTTGGCATATTGAAATGATGTTTTTCCTAAGCTTTGATTGTATATGAAAATTGTTTTTAAAATATTTATTTGTAACAAAAACAGCTGGCAATACCTTATTAAACCTGGCTAAATTAATTTAAATTGTTAAAATTAAGCAGTGCATTCTTCCTGTCTGAAGAAAAACAATTGTGCACATGCATGGGTATTCATGTGTTGATGCAATTCTCTATCCATTTCTTTGCAGATCATATTTTCATGAAGCAAGATTACAAGGAAACCAACTGTTTTTCTACCCTGGGAAGTACATGTGTTGAAAGGAAAATTTAGTTCCACAAGTACCTGGAGAGCCTTTTACCAGGAGTCAGACCCACAGGTTTTCAAACAGAGAAAAATAAATTTTAAAAACATCATGCCCATAAGTTAAAAAACATTTTGCCTCTGTTAAGCAGAGTTAATGAGAATACCCAAATCCAAATGCAAAAACCAAAATAAAAATTTTGTGTTTGGGGGGTTCATAAGCTTCAGCATCTCTAGTCCTACATTGCTCTTCTTTCAGCACCTCCTTTTTTTTCTGATATCCTTTTCTTGTAGTTTTCTTTCTTCAGGCCTCCCTCAGGCTTCCTGCCATCTATCCAGGCTTATTCCCTTTTCCATTGACTCTGGTACATTCTGATCTTTTTTCTTTTGTTTTACACACCACGGTTAGTTCACTTTTCCTCCTTTCTAACATACAGTTTTCCTGTGCCTTTTCAGGTTTATTCCTCTGTCCTTGTCTATGTTTATAATTCTCTGTTTTCTATATTTAAGAAACCTTTTAAGAAAGGTTTTCAGCCTGTCATATATATACCCATGCAAAATTGTAGTCAAAAAACTTCCTCAAGAATTCATTTCAATCAGTATCTGAAGCCAAGAGATTTACACTCACTAACTGATACACCAGTGTCTATCATACCAGAATCAGGGCCAGAATGCTTCAAATAAATTATTAAAAAAATAGATAACTTTGTACTTTCATATTTCATCACAGAATGGGTTGGTTGGAAGGGAGCACATTGGGTCTTCTGGTCCAGCTTCCCTGCTCAAGCAGTCATCCTAGAGCATGAGGCACAGGATTGCATCCAGAGAGTTCTGGAAAATCTCCAGTGAGGGAGACTCCGCAGTCTCTCTGGACATTCTGTTCCAGTGCACAGGAAAGGTGTTCTTCCTTGTATTCATGTGGAATTTCCCAGCATCAGTTTCTGCCCGTTGCTTCTTGTCCTCTTGCCTGGAACCACCAAGAAAATCCTGTGTCTGTCTTCTTGGCACCCATCCCTTCAAGTACTTACAGACATTGTTCAGCCCACTAGAGGCTGAACAGCTCCCTCAGCCTTTCCTCATAAAGGAGATGCTCCAGTACCTTAATAATCTTTGCTATCCCCTGCTCACTCACCAGCATCCTTGCTGACCTCTCCTAACTTCAAGTCCTTCATGACTTCTGTGTGGGGCCACAATACTATTCTGTGGAAAATATGGTCTATCCCAACACAAAAGAAAAAGTGTAAATACAATTAGGTAAAGTGTATTTTCTCTGGTCTATTTAGTTCTCAAAGGAATTCATCTAGAGTTACCCCATGTAAGTCCATTAGTACCCTGAAAATCATGCTTTTGTTGAATTTAAAGGCAGTGTGTTCAAAAACCACATGGTTTGACAAAATATGAGGTAGGACATTTTTGAATGTTTACCATCCTGACTTTGGTTACAATAGATTGTATGATACTAGTGAGAGCAAGATCTCCTTTTTTCCTGGTTGTAAGAATGGAAACAATCTCTCACCTGCGTAACATTCATAGGTATGCCTTGAATAATAAGTTGTCAAAGCCTGGAAGGATTAATGTCTTGAGACATTTTGGGATACTTATGGGAGGGTGTTGAGGTGACACCTTGCCCTGTAAAGCCAGTGAACTGCCCCACACCCTCTAGAGCCAGTATCCCTGCCTGACAGAGCTGCCAATCATTGGCAAAACTCAGGAAATGCCCCACATTCCCTCTCTGGAGTTCCTAACCCAGCTCCTGAGTGGACAAATGACTGGAAGTCCCACTTGGGAGGAGGGCCCATGGAGGCTAAGGGGTATTTAAAGCTGAGCAGGCACTCAGCATCCCTCTTAACCCTGTGTCTTGGAGTTCCTGTCTGAATAGTGCTGGAAACCCAGGAACAGGTAACTATTTGTGTGGTTTTTTATATCTTCTGTTTCTCTTCTAATTCCCTCTCCTTTGAACATTTTGAGATGTAATTTAAGATCAAATGAGTTTAAAATTTGCTAAGTTAAATGGTTGAAGTTAATGCTGTGAGAAGTGTTTTATGTTGATTGGATGTTGTACTAAAATTTTGCTGAGGTTACATAATTTTTCTAAAGTTTGCTCGTAAACTTTTGTCTTGTTTTGACCTCTTGAGGATATCTGGTTGGTATTACTGCCACACATTTAACACAGAGTACATGAAGGACTGTAAGCCCTTTCAGTGAGTTGATTAGGACCTTACAGAATTCTGTGTATTGTATATTAGCAAAATTGGATATTAATATTGGATATTATTTCACATGAGACCGCCTGTAGTTTAGATTTTTAGTTTTGGATTTTTTTTAATATAAATAAAAACTTACACTGCTTCTCTTTGATCATCATCTCCATACTTATCTCTGGGAAACAAAAAATTGTAAGACTGAGCCATACCTGCTCAAATCTTCTTCTTCATCCACCAGTTTAGTGAGATATATGAATGCTACAGCTTTGATTTAGTGACCAGATTCTATATCTTTCAAGTTAAGCATCTATGAAAGTGCTTTGTTAAAACATAATTTTTGCAAAACAATGAAAGCTATACCGAGGTAAATTAATAGACAGAGGAATTAAAAATGGAAGGAAATACCTTATTTACTTGTATATACAGGTCAGTTGATACAGATTTGCCAAAATATATTTTGGTATCTTTGCATTTACATCTATGCAAAAACCGAATGTCTTCCATTTAATTCAGCAGTGTAAGTAAAATAGTGAGTCACCTGATTTACATGGTACAAAAATCCCAGTTAGACACAAGAACTTAGGAATTCTCATCTCCCTTGCTTCTAGAACAAACCAGCTCCTATGAACACTCAAATTGATCCAAACATTTTACAGACGCACACACCAAAAAAAAAAAAAAAAAAGTAGCAAAACCTTTCACACAAAATATTCATGTTTCACAGACACTCTGTGAAACAGAAAACAGGAACATGTCAGATACTACACATGGCTATACCAAAACTTCAGCCAGCATTCATGGACAACATCTGTTAGCCAGGCAGTGCTCTGTCCTGTCCAAGATGTGGTCAGCTTTTGACTTGAGATTTGCTGAAACAAGTTTCCCAGGATCCACTGCAGCCTTGCAGCCTCAGGCTTTGATAATGTGAGGTTTTGGAAACTAAATAGGATAGAGCTTGGCCTGTAAGTGGAGAGCAGAATCCAAAGAGAAGCCAAAGCACTGCAAAATATTTGGCTGCTTGTCAGTTCATGGTGGTTTATACCTTCATGCTGAGATGGGCAAGATGTTTCTCTGAGGTCCCTGGCAATGTGTCCATGATCTGTGGTTCCTTCATCCTGCCCACGGCAGGACATTGGACATTCTTCATTGCTGGTTTGCATTTCATAGCTTTCTCACCCCACCCGCCCTTGCAGCCAAATTAGAATGGGAAATGAGTGAGCAAAGATGCTATTATTTAATCTGGGTGTATCCTTCACATCTTCCTGAACTTGATGCAGGAATTTGTTATTCAGGGGCTACCATGTTCACATAGGTTCACCTGCACCTCAGTGGTAGATACAATTTTCTGGTAGTGCATCTTGGGAGTCACTAAATATTATTTGTCACTAAATATGCTTTTCATTATAAATATTATGTGTCTGCTTTTTTTGCTTATGGTTGGCCCCAACATGACTTCTCAGAAAAAATACTTTTCTTTTTTTCCCCCTGCATGTGGTAAAGGTCATCTTGTGGTACTTCAGTACCAAGGAAGTAGTATGCATACTAAAACTGTGAAGGACAAAATAGTTCCCACAAACTTTATGAATCCCCTTCTGCTTCCCCAACACACTCAAGCAGTCACAAGGTCACTATCACATCACAAGTTCTGCAATATCAGATTTTTATGTTTTCCTTGGGAATTTGCTGCATTTAATCAGGACAATAGGTGAAAATCTGTTTTCATTATTTTGAAAACTTGAAAATATTACCCATTTGTTATGCAAAATTGAGAAAAAAAAACAAGGTAAGAAATTAAATAAATAAATGTATTCATTAATATCTACTCTTACTATTTTTAAAACCAGTTTAGACGTTTGATTTTTCAAGGGATTTATTTTCAGGAAAAAGAAGTGAGTACCAGAAGGGAATAAACATAATTTCTAAACAGTATGTAAGTGATGTGTTTGACCTCTGTTCAGCCACATGACAGTCACTCTGCTGCTGTAAGGGGGAAAAAAAAAATTGGATTCCAGCAGAAAATGCATTACATAGCATAAAGTCTTTTCTTGTTACCCAGGTTGTCACTAGCTCGGAACCTACTCAGCCTAAACTCTAACACTGCCAAAGTTTTCTGTATTCCAGTAACATACAGCAAAACCTCTTTAGCACTTTAAAACTACAGGGCTCAGAAAGGAAAATCTTAGAGATTTCGGACAGGGATGGTCTCAGACCTTCATGCAGCCCCAGATCCCGTATCCATCAGTCAGGCTGCGAACTGCCCAGCTGAGCGCTGCACGCCAGCAGCGGAGCGTGGATTGCCCAGAGCTGCCGCGGGGAGGATGAACCCTGTGTGCTCTAAGCTGGTGCTGACATGCAGCAGCAGGTTCCAGGTGCACAAGTAGATGAAGACTACCAGATGTGGTCACTATTGTAGTAAACTACACAAAACATGGGGGGTTTTGCCAAAGGCCTTTGCAGCAAACTCACAAGTTTTTTGGAGGTAACCTCACAGCTTTCAACTTGCTGGATAGATTGTAATGGTAATTCACTGCTGGTATTGCAACAGTAGTTATTTCCAATTTTGAGCTCATTTCATTTATTTACTGTCATTCATAAGTGTCTGAAAGTGAAAAATAATACCTGATGATTGGTTAGATACCTCTTGGGCATAAAACTTCAGAGGAGAGAGAGTAATGATGAAAATGATACTCAAAGTTTCTTCTTAGATTTATTATTACTGTGAATATTTTTCAATTTTTAGAATGCCTGCCATAAAGAAAATTCAGGCAAAGCTTTCAGGTTTTAGCATTCTATTTATTAATAGTTCAATTTAATGTCCATAAACAGCAGATGAAATTTTAGTGAAATCCATAAGCAATAAAGCTGCTTATATTATAATTCAGGTACCCTGACCCATTATTATCAATTCTGGTTCTTGTGATTATTTAATTTCATTACAACAGTAAGTGCTAAGTGTTTTCTAAATTAAGATTCATGATAATCATTCCATCCATGCTGAAAAAAAAAAAGCAGTTTTA